GCACAGCTATGAGAATTCCTTGTGCTCATAGAGAGTCCGAAAGAGGGCTGGACTTTCATTACCAAGCCATAAGGTTTTCTCAAACGCAAAAAGAGACATCATGCCAAAGACCATAGTTATTGTCCAACTTGAGAAGATCGCATCAACATTGTTGATCTCTTGTGGCGATATTTCTTCGAATATGCCAGTGAGCTGAGCTTAAACGTCGGTGTCTATGGATCACGACACAATGGATACCTACCTTTTTTGTAATGAATGAACAAGTTCGATGTATATCAAAGGCTCCATGTGGAGATGTGTTCAATGTTTAATTCGTTGTCGACATCAGCACATAGGCGTGAAATCCCTGGTAAGGTAACTTAGGTTAGTAAGAAGTAGATCTGATCGTACTGGCCAATAACGCCGACAGCAGCTCTCTGTGAACGCTGATTCGTAAGATTAGATTGATAACACAATAAACACCAGTAGAACTCTAACTCAAAAGATCATCAAAGTTACCTTCCTAGTCGACCGTTAATACCGTGACATAGTTCCCTGCGTTGTGGAATAAAACGTGATAGTAGAGGACCTTGATGAATGTGTGAATCAAGTCTTGCAGTGCTCAGGTGGTACTAACTTGAACCCTTGATGCAAAGGAGGAATTTGGATTCCAAGGCCAAGTTAAAATGCGCACGACATCCCAAAGCTTTTCGAAGCGCGTCTCAATACTGACATATATGCTCTGTTTGTGTTTTTTTTGTTGATGCAGTAGCCCGGATGTGAGACGCGTTTAGAGGACCCATCAAAACAATACAAAACATTGGAGCCGTGAATGGATCCATAACTACCTGGCCGTTATACGAGAGACTGAGGTGGGCGTCGAAGTGTTAAGTAATCGATATCACAAAAGTGGCGACTTTGGAGATCTCCAACCTCGATAATCGATGATGGAACGCAGATGATTTAGAGGTTTATATCAAAAGTAGCAATTACAAGGATCCAGCTGATGGAAGAATGAACTTGAGATTAAGCTTGGCAGTGTGTTTGTTTATTTAGGTTAAGTTCCCATTTAAAAAGGATGGATGGCGGGCATGACACCCCTGCGTGCTGGCGCATGCAGCCACTTAATGAAACAGGGGTGTCAATTGACCACGAGATGGTCCCCAGGATCGCTAATACCACTTGTTAATTGACTACGTGGGGCAGCATGGTAACTGAGAAACAAGGGAATGGAGAAAGATTGATGAGACTATGTGATTTTGTCTCTTTGCGTCGCCCACGAGACGACTAAAATGCAATCGGAAACATGTCCCTAACTGATATTCAAATGCATCCGCATGCATAATCTATGCATCGGGATGACTAGCTGCATATCGATCAGTAAAAGGTTGTTAGAAGAAAAACCAAGACCGAACTTTCTGGCGTGGCTTATGTGCTCTACCCTTCTCTTCAAAGTTCAAACGGGACAGGAAAAGAATAAGAGTTATAGGTACCTAGCATTTCACGCGTTGTGATTGCACTGTAGCGCGCGTCTTTTTATGTTGTTGCGGGGTGGTGCAAAAGGAAAGGGGAAACAGTGCTTCACATTCAGACTACCTACTTAACGTAAGGGGACGAGTCAAATTTTCTCGTATCTGGCCGATAAAACATTCATGTATCTGGAATAAGACATTTTATATGAAAAGCTTAAATAATCAAGACGCGGTGAGACACGCTCTTGATGTACCGCGTTTTTTGAAAACTGGGCTATCAAAAAAGACAAGGCGGGAAAGCTAATCTAAAAGAACATAATGTAGATCTAGAAAAGGTCGGTAGGGGAGGTTGGTTTTTTGTCACTGCTGGGTTCTTGTCACCCATGTATGGTGCAGGTGGCCGCCAGCTGTTAGCATCTCAGGAGCCACACGCGGATGGATACGTAAATTGACAGGGGTGCGCGTTTACTATACAAGGTTTACGCGGAGGCGCAAGCGCCAAAAGCCTCCAAGACAAATGGGGTTTCCTTACAGAGTACAGAGGGGACTCCACTCAAGGGCCTAGGTACGAAGGGACGACTCTCATCCTAGGCGGGCCGCCTCGTTTTAGAAGCACGCCTGCCAACATCAAGACAACCTCGTTTTTCTTCTTTCTCTTCTTCACTTGTCATCTTCATCATTATCTCAGAAAGCATTCAAACCATCAGGTTTGATTTCGCTCCCATCTTCCAAGCCTATCTCTAAATTGATATCTCCCGATTGTTGTTGTTTCTTCTCCAGAACACGACTCTGGCGTCTCTCTGACTGGGCAGTAATGCGTCTGAATCTTCAATAAGGCCATCTCCATTACCCTCCTCTCTACCGCAATCATGGCCGACCCTACCAAATCCCCTTCTTTCGCCGCCACGCCCGATAAACACGCTCCCCCGGCCCCGCGTTTTCATGACATCGCCGTCACGCCCCAGAGTCTCCCTCCTCTCGCCGATCCGTCAACCAATTCAGCCGTATCTGCAACTGATTCGGAGAAGCATCCCAAGGGAAAAAGGAAACGGACAACGTATGTTGATCTACCTGACATTTCAGTTCTGGCTGCAGCGATGTATTGGGAGGACTGAGCTAATTTTGAATTGATGGCGTTGTGCAGGGCGAAAGACAAAATGGTTCTGGAAGAGGCATACAGCAGTAACCCTAAACCCGATAAACAGGCGCGCCTGGACATTGTCCAGCGCGTATCGTTAAGCGAGAAGGAAGTTCAGGTATGGCATTGACAACATTGCATTTGCTATTAGATCTCGACATTGACATGGCGACCTACCACGCGTTTTCTCATGGGGTTTGAAATTACCAAACTAACATCATCCCCTCCAGATCTGGTTTCAAAATCGAAGACAGAATGACCGCAGGAAATCTCGCCCTTTGTCACCGGGAGAAGTTGCTGCTCTTCATCATGGAATTATGCATCCCTCAACTTTCGACCCAATTACACACACTACAACTCCAAGCAAACCCGAACGTCCATTTCCAGTGTCCGAACGTTCTATATCTCGATTTGGAGACCCCATCCCTGTGCCCCCTCGACATTTCGACCGGACACCCTCCATGCCACGATATCACTCAGACCTTGTGAATAGCACTCCAATCACCCTTGGCCATGACAGTTTTCGCTACTATTCTGACGCCACTCCTAACCGCATCGATCCTACTCTCCCACACGAAGCTCGAGATGTATCCCATTCTTTGTCAAGCTCTATATCTAGTAATGTTGGCTATCTGTCCAACCGGTGGAATGCTGGGGCCACTTCCTTCTCTACGCCAGCTGCTTTTACCCGCAGCGGTGACGATTCATTCAGGTATGCCGCATACGATTATACTCGGTGTGTCTTCACTAATCAAAGTAGATTTGATACATTTCCTCCGTCCTCATGCGCTTCTGATCGTGTCATTGCCACCCCTCTCTCCCAAAGCCAGCCCAAGGTTCACCTCTCTACATCCTTAGACGGAAAGGCAGAGTTAGTCTCCAACCAAGGCTCTCCTTCACGTGAATTACCCCCTCGACCGTCCTCCACAACGCCATACTTGCCTGAGGAGCGACAGCGTGGTCTGCAACGAGGCCTACAACGTAGTAGCAGCGCTGTTACTCTCCCTCCCCTGTCGGAACTCACTAGCAGTTTGCCTCCTAGTCTTGTGCGAGGTCGGTCTCGTGATGTGCATGCCTGGGAAAAATGTGCGGACGCTGAGAACCGTGATGAGCTGACGGCGCAGGCCGAGTACGAGTCGAACGGATCGGCGGCTGCAGCTATTAACATTCTTCGTTCCACGAGCGGGATTCTTCAACCAAGCAACGCCAAACGCAACGCTCCCATGACAAGGCCCCAACGACCTCATCAGGCAAAGAAGGCAAAGCTGGATCCTACTGGGTCAAGTATTTCACGACTCGACGCGGACTTGGACGAAAGGGAAAAGGCTGACAGGGAGCATGGCAAGGTGAAGGTTTCGATGTTGGTCTCTCCGACAGGTGGTGACTCGGATAAGGAGAACTTGAGCCCTGACGAGGAGACCAGTTCGCCGGATCCTTACCACCGTCGACCTCTGCCGCCTGCCCCCAAACATGTTGGCGATAACCCTCGACGAGTTGGCCGAGCCCTGCAGGAGCAAAAGAGCCCAAACCTGCTCGCAAACCGCGCAAACATGGCGCCCACACGACCACGTTCCATCGTCAAAGAAGGATTGGAGATTTTCCAGGACAGGATGAAACCAGTGCTGTCTTCTAGGGAACAAGACATGGCTCGAGGTTCAATCAGTCCTAGTAAAAAGCCCGATATGGACTGCGTGGCAGGTCTTCTTTCTCTTAGCCAAGGAGCTTGGAGGTGAAGAAAAGATAAGAAGAAAAACTATATCTGTAGATGTTGGGGAAAGGAATACCGGGAAACAGCGAAATGACTTTGATATAGCCTAGGTTGACTATTGTCGTTTCCTCTTCCGTGGCAGATAAGGAATCACTTTGCATGGCTCACACGAGTCTGGTTCTCGATGTTTACAGCTGTATAATGTTCGGTAAAGTCCTGATTCATGGCGGCACGGGATTTGGGATTTGGGATAGAGTTCGGCGCCTGGAATTTGTGCTTGTAAATATCTTCGTATTCACATACTGTTACTTGATGTGATGGAAAACGGAGCCAGTCACTTGGCTTCCTGGATGGAAGAAGAATTGACAATAAGAGACTGTCTCGCAAGACCATCAAAGAAAGACTCAGTTTACCACTTGAAATGGAATGTTCAATGATGGCCAACATAGAATGATACTGTGATATCACTTGGGCAAAAACCGAGGTAACAGAAGAATTGACGGCCGTCGCTCATAGTTGACTTAAGCACATAAGCATATTCAGAAGCCTATCGAAATTGAAGCAGCAACTTAAATTTACATGATATTCCGTAGGAATATATTCATGTATCAAATTATTATTACCCTCTCAAGACACTTTAGAAATCCCAAAAATTGCTTCTGTTACTTCCCGAGGCACCATAGGAGTCCGTATCAACGCCAATCCTACAATATCCCTCCTTTTGTTGCTTCAAAGTTGAGGAGGCACTAGATGGTGAGCGAGCTTTCGAGAGATTACGCTTATCACTTGACGGGCATCTTGCTGTTGAGTTATGTGGCCACATATCGTGTATTGTCTTGACGAGATCGTAATCTGCCTTACATCTAAATGTCTAAATATTTCCCGCTATAGTTCCAAAACCACACTTTGCCATTCCGCTTATATCAAAATGAAGAAAAAATTGATCTATCATCGTACCCAGATAATCTGAAATGACAGACAATAATTGTAACGCCGCCAACACCATGCCTAAAACCAGCTCTTATCCAAGGCCGCTGATGCCATGGACTTTCCTCACATACCCAGAAGGCTCATTTGCCGACGGATGGGGCTGGCGCTGACACTCCCATCTTCACTTGCGTAGCATGCACTGTCGGTGTCAATGTCCCAACCGATATCGTCGTCATCGTTGCAACTATCTCCGGTGTCGGCATCGAAAGGCTTCTGTGCGGAAGCTCTGACGTTCCAGCGGAGAGTACGGCTCACGCTGTCAAACCACTCTGTATCGGTGCGTGTCACAGTAGGGAAGGGGTACTGAGAGGCAGTGATTGTGACGTGGTCACCTTGTCGCAGCTCGAGTCGACCCTTGCCATCAAAAGCGCAATAGGCAGTGGCTCGAGAATTCCGAGGAACAACAACTCGGAGAGCCATGGTATCAGAAAGGACCATGGGTCGGAATGATAGGGTATGAGGGCAGATGGGTGTAAGAAGGATGGCAGGAATGTCAGGGTGAACAAGAGCGCCACCGGCAGATAGAGAATATGCTGTAGAGCCAGTTGGGGTGGAGAAGATGCAACCATCGGCTTGTACAACAGTGAGGAGTTCATCATCACCATAGAGCTCCAGGTTGGACACATAGGGGGAAGGACCACGATCGATGACGAGTTCGTTAAGAACTTCGAATTGCTCAGGTTCTTCGAGCTTGGGTGCGTCCAAAGCACCGGCTCCACGATTGCTGCGATGAACAGTACACGTGAAGCGCATGCGGAGGTTAATCTTCATGCCATCATCGCCCATGACTCTGTTGAGATGTTCTTTGTACTTCTCAAACTCAAATGTGGTCATGAAACCTAGACTTCCCAGACTGAATGAGAGCACAGGAGGTACAATGCGCTGGAAGAGCCATGAGGTGAAGAGGACGGTACCATCGCCACCAAGAGTCAAGACAAGATCGAACTTTTCAGGCTGACTCCAGCACAAATCGGGTGTCCAGTATTTGAGCATGTGCTGGAAGCGGGGGTTCTCGGCAAGGAGACCAGATGAATCAAAACGTCGTGAGTTGCGAAGCTTAGCATCGACGTAGACATTCACGCCGAGGTCGGAGCCATAACGTGGGGTTCGCAGAAGCCACCCGGCAAGCTCGCGAGTAAGGTAGACGAGCTGGTTGTCGCGTGCCTTGGTGACAATCATGATGTTGCGGACTGCGCGCTTGATGGGACGACGCTGAAGCTGCTTGGAAACCTCTCGAACACCAGTTGCAGTCGCGACAAGACGCGAATGTGACATGGAAACATCATTCTTGATTTCCTCGAGGACCTTGCCGATGTCGACAGCATCAGCAAATCGCTGATGGTAGAAACATGGTGACTGTAAAGTTGAGGCGAGAATGGTAGCGGCCATATCAGATGAAGTTGTGTCATTGCTAGAGGTGGAAGTGTAAGTCCGGGCGGTGTTGGGTGTGTTAACGGCGCCTGCGGTCAAGCGAGACTTGGCGAGGTCATTGAGGGCATCAGTTAGGCTTTGCGAAGGCGTGGCAGCGGTAGAGTTCTTAGACACACTCGTGAAGCCAGGTAGAGGGCCAGCCGAAGAGGCTGGTTGAGAGTCAGACTCTGAAGGTTCCGTCTGGCGAAGAGAAGGCATGTTTGTGTGTGGGAGTGCGAGTGACAAAGCGTCGGGTTTGTTGTGTCGGATCACCGAAGCCAAAGCCCTCGGGCCAGAATTAGACCGAAGGGCGTCTTTCTGAGTCGAAGAAGACGAAGCTGATTGATATACAGTTGACGAGGGTAATGGTGAAGTGGAAGATTGTAAAGAGGGCGAGCTTAACGAAGTTGTATCTTTTGGGGCAGATGACAAAGTAGAGGCTCCACAATCTTCCAGGAGAGTTTGAGGTTTTAAACGATCCGAGACTGACAACGACAAAGGGGATGGGGACAATGTTGAAAACACACCTGGCTGCTCAACTTCTAATTGTGTGGTCTGAACAGTGTCCGAGCTTAAACTTGTATCGGCGAGTGCGCTCCTCTTAAGGACAGGTGAATGGGAAGAGCGAGCAGGAGACAAGCAATACCCGTTGTCTCGGGGGCTGCCAAGAGCTGGGTGGAGAGCCGTGGGAGACAGTACGCCTGTCATACTGCCGTTGCTGGCGGAGGAGACTAGGTAGACTTGGAGGGGAGGGGGCAAAGGAATTGGTGGACGAGGCCCTGTAAGTGATCCGTAACGTGGAACAGATGGGGATGTTAGACCAGGACCCTAAATAGGATAAAATCCCAAAATTAGATGGGGGTCCAATGTGACGGAGCACGCGATCTCTCTCGTTGTCTTTGTTTTTTATCGTGTGCTTTCCCACAAAATACTTGATTGTTCACCCGACTTTTGTTCAAGCGGACTTGTTCACTGCTAAGTGATTTTTTCGATGAATCCTGGCGGCGATAAGCAGTAAGCTTGGCCGATGGGAATTCCGACACAGGTGAGCGGGCCGCGGAGACAAGCGGAGAAAAGCTTCGGAGTTGATAAGTGTGAATGCCAATGCAATGCCGTACTTGTAACCGTATCAGGTACAGTACCGACCACGTTCCGACGATCGAATCTCAATTCCAGTTTGCGCTGCACGCAAGGAGTGAACCCTCCAGGGGCTGGCCTGACGAGCAAGATGCAGATGACGTCGCAGTGCAAGTCTCTTGTTACCTCGCTTCCCTGTGATCCCCCTAATGGAATACAAGGATGTGCCTATAGAGCGGTTGATGTACTGAATCAATCAGTCACCGTTTTCCCTGAATATCAAGATATTAATAGACTCTCGTCCAATAATCTCGCCTCGATGCAGCGCAGTGCGGCAGGGTGTAGAATATCCAATTAGGAAAAACGGTAGCAGCCCACTCTTGGAAATCGAAGAATCGAGAAATCGAAAAGTGATATCCGTAACCCCCCGTGACAAGCTATCTTTCTGACCGTTGCCAAATCTCGCCGGGAACCCCAGTCTGTTGCGGGGATGAGACACCCACTCACGGAGATACGCCAGGGATGTCGATAGCTTCTCGAGACGCAAGAGCCGAGCCGAGCGGGAGGGACACGCCGCTATTGGTGGTGCTTGTGATGAGAATCTTTAGTCGCAGCAATACACGATGCACGTGGGTGATGCGAGCAGCTGGGATCAAGCACCAAGAGACTGGTTAGACTAGATCCTGAGGTTGTTGGTCGTGCTGTTGGTTGATCTTGTTGGTTCCAGTGTTCGGCTGCCGACTTTATATGTTGCTCAAATTCAACGTCACGGCGGCAGTTGAATCAAGGTTGAGGCTGGGAAAAGAACCTTCTTGCAATCCACAAAGTGCAACCGGAATTTCGGGAAGAAACAGCGAAGAGCCACACAAAGAAAAGAAGCAAGGCAAGGATTCCGGGAGCTCTTTTGGCTGCAGTGCAGATGTAACACAACACTACGCGGCCGCCAGTCCAAAGCTGCAAGCCACAAATATGTGATGTAAGTTTTCAACGACCAGCGAAGAAGATAGGTTGTCGAACAGATTCAGCCCTCAAAAAGAATATGAGAACCAACAGGTTAAACTACTTGGCGCCAATGGGGGATTGTGACAAAGAAGACAGAGACGCAGCAAGCGACCAAGAATATCGGCGATCAAGCGAAGGAATACAAAAGAGGCCGTAAGCGAGAGGCGAAGATGAAAATAAAGTGGGCGATTTTGCACGAGACTCACAGAGTCTTGTCGGCGAACGCGTGATTACAATCAATGTAAAGAAGAACAAAATATGAGTGCTCGAAAGAGAGTGTTGAGACCGGCTACCGAACCCAGGAATTTGCTGTGTGCTCTAGCTGGGCTTTAATACTCTGCCTTCATTTTCCTTGCGTGTGTTTTCGAATATCGCGAGCTATAAAACCTGCCTCTATCCCCTGTGTTTTAGCTCCAGGGTCCCAGCTTTGGGAAAGGAAAGGCTCCCGTCGTGGACAGTCCAGCCCCTTCCACTGGAGGATCGACCCTGGTAACCCCTTTCTCAGCCTAGAACTCCTTGTCACAAAATCTTTTCCTCGTCTAGCGCCTGTTGAGACGTCGATTGGAAACCATGTTGCAGTCTCTATACAGGGACCCAACGAGGTATGTGGTTATAGGCTAGGCGAATTAGCAAGTACTATGCTAGTGTCAACAAGGCAGGAGAAACAACAAATAGTATTCCTTGATCGATGTCAATAAGATATCAAAATCATATCATATAGTTGTTACTGTTCTATGGATCCTTAACCAATGGGTCTATAGCCGCGGCTCAACTCAACCACTTATACTTCTCTGTTATAACCGTGCGGGAAAGTGGAACTAACAGTTGTCAAGTGGGCACCGTCAAGGGGAGGCAAGAAAACTTAGGACCTCAACCCTAGATGACAAAAAGACTTAGGTAAACTCGGGTGAGACTTAACTGACCTTTAGACTAATTATTTTTGACACCTAAACTTAGGGCCTGAAGTTTTCTTGCTCCCTGAGGACCGTCTTGCTTCTCAACGGTTCAATGGTTCAGGGTCGTTGCAGATTTCCCCAGTCTGTTGATTCATGGTCTCAGTAGCGCCCAATGCTCCCTCTGTGGCTGCAGTGGCTTAATCGTTTTCGATCCAACGATAATGCACATTATGTATTTTAGAAGAGTTTGGCATAAATTATACAATGTTCGTCATCTTGATGTTCACGTCCTGGTCCTTTGAAACTTTCTTCTGTAGATCGTCGACCTCAGGCCCCGAGCTTACTCGTTGTAACCTTAGTTGTGATAAACCTTTAGCGACTGTGACACCAGGTATCAGTATTCGTGGCGCCAAGCTAGGTAACAGGTTGTTTACCAAACATGTCGGTGAAATCTCGAGGGCGATAACCAATGTAACATCGTTGGGCAAAGGCGTGGCAATTCGTCTCAGCTTCTCAACTTCAACTCAGCTCTTGTTGAGCACCCAGAGATCCAGGCATGCATTCGAAAACATTGCTAAACACCATGTTAGGTAATTGCAAGGAAATATCACACTTGACTGGACAGTTGTCATCTCAATGCAAACCCTAGGTAGTGTTTGTCAACCCCCTGTTAGAGAACGTAAAAGCGCATCACGTCTTAGAGTATCAAGTTACGATAACCAACCAGCTACCGTAAAATACGATCGTGAGAATGTGAACTCAAAAATGTTGCGAAATTCAATGGTATCTTTGATCCTTCGTAAACAGATTCGACCCCCAAATCGGCCTGAGACCGCCCATACAATTTCTGATGCCGTGGTGAAACACAGAACCAGGAACTTGTCCACTGAGGAGCCGCTATATCCAGAGCTTATCCGATAGCTGCCCGGATCAGAAAGTCCCGAGACTCTGCCAACTATGCTTGGCGGTTTTAACACTAGTACAATGGTCGTTTTGATCGTTGAGGGTTTGACCCTCTTTCTCAGGATTGAGGTTGGCCTCAAAATGCGGTAAGCCTTCGCCACGTGCTGACGCTGAGATTGATCAGGTTGGTAAGCCAGCCGAGGCTGGGCGCCTAGACGAGAGTTTGATTATCATCTTGGCGGGAGAAGCATGTTGGAAATACCGAGCGCGGGATATCATGCACATGGTTTGGTGTGTCATTTCCAGTAGAGATCCTCCGCCACCTTCGCTTCCATGACAGAGCGGATGAACTGTTTCATGCTTCTTGACTCCATGTCATCGCCGGACATGGTTGTATCGAAACCAGGCTGTTGATGCTCGCAGCATATACGTTGTCCAAGCTGAAGAACATTGGTCCATTCGGCGGGAGTGAAGGCGCCCTCGCTCTCCGACAAGAGCAACTCATCATGAGAAGTGAAACCGAGAACGTGAACCGACTTAGCATGATCAATATCGACAGCGCTTGGATCGACGATGATGTCCTTGCCCTCCTCTTCTGGAATAGCAAGAAGGGTCGCCGCGCCAATACTCTTCAGAGGGATGGCAGCGCTGAGGAGTCCCAGGATGGCAGAGTGAAGAAGTGCAGGAATGATAGGGAGATTCTGCAACGAGCATTAGCTTATCGATACCACCAAAGTTTGACATTGAAGCTTACCAACTGTGCCTGGACCAGTTTTGCGTTGACGTAGGCATTCTCAGGTGTCTCCGCAACCTGAAGAGTGATCTGGATCACACACCGAGGATAGTCTCTCACAGGGATGAGTTGCCTGATCGCTGCCTGCATGATTGACTCAAGCTGTCTCTCACGGGTGCCTGTTGCAACATGCATAAGGAATTGCTATTCTGTAACAAGGGATGTCGGGGATCTCACCTCCAACGCCAGCGGCAGGACGAACAATGACGTCCACTAGAGCCTCGAAGGCATTCTCATCTCGTCTTTGGGCTTCTACAGGGCCATTGACAGCGGCTATCACGGCATATCCCCCGTATGAGAACGTCGCAGAGCCGTCAGCTTTGGCGAGATGTGACAGCTCTGCTGCAGGTTCAGCTAAAGGAGCCATTGTCGTTGGTGTTGGGACGATTTAGTCGTGTAAGGCTGGAAATTTTCTTGGGTTTTTGGAGTTTAGCTCAGCGTAGCGCACGGGACAAGGGCAATGGAGCGGTAGGAGATACCAGGTTGGATTCTGAAAATGTGGTTGAGCGAGGTAACTCAGAGGAGGGAAAATGAATCAACGGAATCTAGCAAAAGAGTGAGTTCCCCAGAGTCTCCATGAGTTTGTTGGCTCAATATCGAAGTTACGGATTTCTTGATAGTGGGGCAGTTTAGAAGCTACCCGCAGAGGTGGCCGCCAATCATGGCTCCACAACTCATGATATGCAGCCTTCACGATACACTCAATGAACCTCCATTCTACATCTACATCTACCTATCAACAATAGATCAACTGTCACAATATGGACTCGCAAGCTTCTACCCATTCCGCAACATTACAAGGCGAAGCATCATCAATACCAAATCTTAAAGACCGGCTTCCGAAGCTCGAACCTCGAAAGCGACGCTCAGCTACCTCCAATCCTACTCCCATTCCCGAAACACCCGCCTTACCAACGCCACCCGATACGTCCGACTGGACTTTCAAGACACCGTCGCGAAGAATCTTGTCAAAAAAGGATCATGATATCTTCTTGTCTTCACCAACATATGAGCTCATTACGGCCTGGGTGTTTGGGCTAGCAGAGTCTGTGGTCGACACTCCCAACTCTGCAGTTCGAGACGCCGACCTGAGCAGCCCTCTCAAGGTCATACTACATATCCTCGATGAGACGGAACAGCTGGTAGCTAAATCACCTCCGAACGAACAAGGTGGATCAAGATTTGGTAACAAGGCGTTCCGCGGCCTTCTCGAGCTTGCGCAAAGCAACAGTGCAGCTTGGCATCGAGAGATCGGCGTACAAGACGAGGGAGCTATCGCCGAGCTCTCTACATACTTCTGCCAGTCTTTCGGTAACGGAAACCGAATTGACTATGGATCTGGTCACGAGTTGAACTTCATGATTTGGCTCCTTTGCCTTTACCAGCTGGGCTTGTTAAAGCAATCCGACTTCAAACCCCTCGTCCTCCGTGTATTCGTGCGCTACCTTGAGGTGATGCGTGCCATCCAGATGACTTATTACCTTGAGCCTGCGGGATCACATGGAGTTTGGGGACTTGATGATTACCAGTTTCTCCCTTTTCTTTTCGGTGCCACACAGCTTTTGCACCACCCATACATTACCCCAAGAGCTATCCATCAAGACCTTACCCTTGAGGAGTTTGGTCACGACTACATGTATCTTGGCCAGGTCAGCTTTGTAAACAGCACAAAGACCGTCAAGGGTCTGAGATGGCATAGTCCCATGCTAGACGATATCTCATCAGCGAGATCGTGGACAAAGATCGATGGTGGCATGCGTCGCATGTTCGTCGCTGAAGTCTTGGGCAAGCTACCTGTCATGCAGCATTTCCTCTTTGGATCTCTCGTGCCAGCAGCAGATGGCATGAGCGAAGACACAGGTACTGGGGAAGACGAGAATGCCGAACATGATCCACACGAGGGCCATGACCACACTGGAAAGGCTCACGATGGCACAGGTTGGGGTGATTGCTGTGGTATCAAGGTTCCGAGCAGTATCGCTGCTGCCCAAGAGATGAAAAAGAGGGGTGGTGATCAGGGATTGCGAAGAATCCCATTCGACTAATGTCGCCACCGCCAAATCAACGATCAATACAGATTCACTAGGTTGTAGACTTGTACCTCGCACCGTGGCCTCGTGACACTTTATACTGCTTATGCAAATAATGAATGGTGACTTGATAGCCATTTGGCTCATGCTCTGACTAGCCTCTCCAGCTCCGTGGTTCAGAGTTCGTCACACGGAGTATTACACGCAAAACGAATGGTTTGTAGTAAGACAACCATTAGAGAACCCGCGAGATCTAACCTCTGTTAAGTTCAAAATATTAGGCTTATCTAGATTACCTTACTAAGAGGTGTTGACTGTACTCCATCGTGCAAACGAAGTGGTCAAACTCTCTAGGCCAGGTCACCAGTGAAGTTATAACGAACTCAGTCACAATTTTTTCAGCGGGTGCAAGATACTCCAAAACAATCTGAAGGGCTCAGGAAGGCCATGGGTGAAACAATACATAAACTCAACGAGGTCCAGGCTCTGGCAAATCGTGCGGAAGCTCTCCATGGCATTATACCCACAGACCCACGGAGAAAGACAAACGTTGGCTAGGGATAAAAGACTCTTGACGTTAACGAATTTATTAGGATTGAGAACAAACTGCTTTGAGAGAGGAGACCTTCAAGTTCATAGACAAGTTCCTCAAGTCAAAGCTGAGCTTGAAGATAGACTACTTCCTGATTTCAACATTGTGAAGGGTGGAAAGCAACAGGGGCAACCATGCTGGTCAGACTTCAAATGCTATTAACAATACGTTGGAATCTATTGCTAATTATGCTTCCCCAGATGGTCAACTCAAGTCTGCCTGGGGCTATCATTAATCCTCTGGCCAACGCGGCTGGTACTTTAGCACACCATAACGAAAGCAACACTCGTCAGTCACTCTACAGAAGCTGTCGAGGTCGAGGAACAGAAATAACAAAGAGGCGTCAGAGAACCTACAGCTTCATAACCTAAGGCAGACTTATTAGTTTCTTTAGTCGTTGCTTTTTCGCTTCCTGATGCAAGGGTTTTGGGTCTTCTGGCTGCCTAAGGGGTGACCACTGGACGATTAGCATTGATTTTCACCATACTTGGCGAGAGCGGCAAAGTTGGCAAGCTAATGAAGGGGTGCGCGAACCTCAGAACTCTCCCTAAATAATCTCAAAGGGACAGAGATTCTGACATGAGATACGTGAAAATTATGGCTGATATGTTCCCGGCCCAGGACGATCGAGTTTGGAGGGAGAATATGAGATCCATAGTAGAAACGCGCCGCAATCGTTTAAACAACAGAAGACATGCTAAGGTATCATTCGGTGAATACTTGAGCGTTATCATTCTGTTATACCGTATCTTTCTTCCCGGAATAAGAATATCAGCACAGATATCTCCTGAGGAAGCCGACCTAACCCCTATCGTGACCAAGCCCAATAACAAACAGTCCATATTCGTAGATGTTCTATCACTCAAAACTCTTCTTGTAACCGGGAGACAAGAGAGAGGCATATGGAAGAAAGATAAACGATTGACGTTTCTCTCCCATAATATGACCGACACCCAACAGGTTCAATATCTTACGGTGGGACCTATGGTCAATCTAGTTAACCCACTCCAGCCATCTATTTGTTGCTACAAGTTGTATTGCGTCCTGAGATTCAATCAGAATATAGGGTGTACTTACTAAGGAGATAATTTATCTCCATAGAGTGACTTGATATAGGGCAATTGCCTATGGAAATAATAAGCTTTCTCATTCGGCTCGAGTTTATCTAAGACTTGTCTATGCATAAGTCGTAGTTGATTTCAAACGATGCGCGTATTAGATGGGCATAATTGACTGGAAACCCATTCTCAGAGGGTACTGGGATGAAAGCCATCTAGTTCTGGTGATGCAGTCTCAATTCCACCGAACTTAATCGTCGATTGAAGAAGATCTCAACAACGCCCATAGTAGTTCCGCAAATGCCCCTCTCACTTCTTTATATCTCATGCTCACTTAGCCTCAAGGTCAGTGGCCGGGTCTTCTTTCACCACTGCATCCTCCTTCACGCTAGACTTCTTACAGTGGCCATCGCCGGAATCTTCAGCTCCCTGATAGTCAGGTAGGAGGTCGCGTTCGTCTTTCTCAGATTCTTCTTGGTCATCCGTCTGCTGGAGGGTATCTGGGGCATCAACGGTATTCGCCTTAAGATTCTCCATGGCTCAAATAAGTGGTTGCAAGACTGCACGGCAGTGCACATCATTGACTGCTGCGGAGTCACTTGACTCTGTGTGCCGAGACGACAATGACCGATCTAGAAAGTTGACATAAACGTAACAGGCCACACTTAATATGTAAGTCATCATGAATCCAACATTTCGAATTAGGAGAATAAATCACGGCGAAGATAGCCCTGGAAGCTTACAAGCTGGGAACTCGTCGCTCCTACATTTCGCATCTCAGATCTTCGAGGTTTGTAATTGCCAGAGCGCTCAGAGAGTTCCCTCATTCAAGTGATAGTCGGTGCCTACTAAGTATGTTGCAAATACCTATTCAGCAAGACTCGAGCTGATCTACTATTGAACGCCTACTATCGCCAATCAGCTTCCGATATCTCCTCGCCCCCTTATGGGTTGCTCAAGCTCTCTGGATGAAGAAAGAGTACGTAAAGTAAGAACTGAATATATATATACATATATACACATACACATACATATGCAAGAGCCACTGTCAGTAATCAGGGTCGAAAGGAATGCTCTCCCCTTTGACCATGAAGAGATGAGAGGTTAAAAATGATCGCCTGAAGATTTTGTGATCTCTTGAGCAAACCTTTAATGGGCGGAGGGACCATGCCCTGTTTTTAGGCTCTATCAATGCTTCAATCTAGATAATAGACTAGATGTGACCGTCCAAAAATATACCACAGGGTCAGCTTACACTGCGGTTGGATTGGCTGATAATAGATATGACTCTCATGAGCATGGTGCGAGTATCCCCTATCCCACTCATAATGTCCAGCCAGGCTCTTTCGGTTGTTCTTTTTGTCTATACGCGGTATACTCCATAGCCCCTTAACTCCTTTGGAGCTCCCAAAGTTCCATAAGCCAATTTATGGTTCTTCACTATCATTTATCCTGGCACTCTCGACCGTATGTTTAAAGCATGAACAGGGATAAGGGGTGGCACTCCAAGGAGCATTGAGGTGGTTTCAAATAGCAGTCATATTCCCAAGAGAGCCTTCGACGCTGGTACCAATAATGACTCGAATGGCATGAAGAGAGGCATTAAGAAGTTTTGTTCATTTATATTATCATAGTGAGGTTGGGTTGACTAAACATCTCATTGCTTTCCCTAACCATAATGCATCAAGCATCAAGTATAGTTCATCCACACATTACCTATCAATGGCTTATAGATGACAAACTATTACCGACCCTTACGTGAGGCGCATTAACATGTCCTTCGTTGGCTCCATAACCGCATTCCTCAAATTTGTGCCGGCGTACAAAAACGACCTGGCAATATCAATCGTGACGCCCATTCATGACCGTAACGTGTAACGAAAATCGACAGGTGACCGCCCGTTGTGGTATCTTGAGTCAAACAAGTAAACGCAAAACTCGCAATAATATCGTAGCGAAGCATGACCTGCTCGCATGAAAGACAAATGAAATAAAGTCGTGTAAACATATCTCGTTGTGATGTGGTTTGTAAGGATGAGACCTGCTGTTGGCCTCACAGACGCCCAACTCGCTGTGATGGCATTGGGCCTGTCTCTTCTGATTGGTGGCAACGCGATTGAGGCTCTCGGAGTCTATTCGTTACATGGATGTCCACAAGCATTTCAACAAGCGCCTCCGCATCCTTGTGAACGTTGACGAGATCGGCAGGGCCAGAAGAAATCCCAAGTAAGCTTCCGTCAGCTCGCGGCTTTCGGTACGCCGCGAAAATGATTCCACGGTCAGTGTTCATAGATTGGACAGAGCATGTTGAAGAAGAAGAGTTTCTCGAGATGACAGAGCCCCCTCTTGAACACTCGCCAGTGTAGAAAGCGCAGGCATAGCCTCGCGCAAATTCGTCATTACGGACCTCCTTTGCGCGATACTCGATCCAACCTGGAGTCTTCAAAATCTTGCTATGAGCTGTCGTTGATATTTGGAAAGGCAAGTTGACATTTTCCAGTCCATAAGCGGCGAGGAGGCGACCAGACAAGGGTCCAAATTTCTTGCTTAGTGAGTTCATGCTGGAAGGACTTTCAGAATTAATTCGCTCATAGTCAGTCCATAAGTTGACCACGTAAACGAGATCGAAGTTGTAGCGTTTAGCAATCCTAGCCGCCTCAAATGCTGCAGCAGTTGCAGGCTTGCTTGCATAAGGTGGGGTGAGTGTCAGGAGGGAAGAACGAGGAGAGTCGGGGGCAGAAGGAGCAGTGGCGTATGTTGATGTCTCAAACGCATCCGCATCTGCGGGAGCCGATTCAGCAATGTCATCATCACTGAGGTTGAAAAACTCGTTGAAGTCCGGTTCTCGGAGTGTAGAGCTAGTGATGGAGAGCCTATTTGTGGTGTCTGCCAGGCTAGTCTGACTGATAGCTTTTCGAAGTGGCCTCTGATCCAGAGTTTTGGTAAAATGGCGGCGGATGTCCCTGCAAACTGCCTTGTTCAGAAAGTCGATAGACTTGGATGCTCGAAGTTGAGCAATGTGAACCGGACGAAGCTCTGGTGAAGACTCTGGCGTCGGAGGCTTCTGGGGAGGTAATGCCGGAAGCTTTTTGTCACGGAAATATTGAGGGCTGCGGGTACCCTCATCTTCCAGGTCTGAGGACGGGGGAGTATCAAGCCGCGAAGTTCTAGTTGCAGGCTTTCTCGAAGGTCGCAATGGAAGGCTACGCTCACTAGGGGCTTCCATGGATGATTTTGGATCACAGGTAGATGAAGAAGCAGATGTTTCTCCCTGGCGGGTTGGAGGTCGCGGAAATTGATAAACATCAAAGTCGTCTAGGAAGGAATCGTCTTGTGTAGACATGAAAGAAGCCTTGAGGGGGGAATACTGTAACTTATGCGAATTTGAGAAGCGCGTGGGGCTCTGGGCGTGCATCAAGTCCACTCGATGAGGAGAAAGAGGAGACGTTAGAGATGGAACTCGATTGCCAGGCTGCTTTCTCACTTCCTCTCGCGCCGCCATGCGACTTGTTTTGGGGCGAATAAAAGAAGGTGAAGGAAACTGAGGTATTGTTGGAGGGTTAGAAGCAGGTTCAACTGATTCGGTCGAGGAGGCTGGCGTCTTCTTCTTGGCGAAGAAGCGCTCGAGGCTTCCGAAACCATTGGCCATATTGAACCTTTGGTCAGTGAAGAGGTAAGTGAACGTTGCGCAGGATGCCTGGGTCGAGTCGTGTTAGCGAAGTGAAAGATAGTCTTGAGCGCACCTCGTGCATAGAGGTGCACGAAACGAAGAAATTTGGTTGCAACGTACCAGATCTGATGCAGTGAAGGCTTATCAGTGGAGGAAATGAAGAGGCGAGTTGTAAGCCGAAGTGACCTTTGGGGTGAATCAGAGCCACTCGCGGTGGAAATTGGTGTTTTGTGAGAACAAGGCAAAACAGTTCAGACTGGAATTGAAGCTGAATGGCGCTAGAGGTTCGAGACTGAGTCGGGTGTGACTGTATCAAGCAGTGACGAAGGGAGAATCGCAGGAAGTAGAATAGTTCATGGCCACAAGGGCAGATGCAATGAGTTAGAATCCCGACGCAGAGCTTCGTGCTCTTCGAGACGTTGGTTCGATGTGGATTGTTGGTTGAAGAACAATTGTATTCTAGTTGATGTGATCCCAGAGCGACAAGCACGGAATGGGTTGGTTCTGTCGAGCTTGATGTTGTACTATCCTGTCCTCGTCCTTGTTACTCTGTACTGTAATGTGAATTGCGGCAGAGTAAAGCCCTTGGGCCCTTCGCAACAGTGAAATAGTGTGCTCCTGTTCTTGTAACAAGCGATCTAAATGTTGATGTTGAGCTGTAAATGATGAAAAGGAAATAAGATAGTTTTGTGCGAGGTGTGAGAGGAAACAAATGCAATTCGGTATGGTGTGAGAAAGGTTGCACAGCAGGTGTAACGGAGTGAGTGAAGAGAGGGAAGGAACCTGAGGCTGTGTTTGTGTTGCACGAGGCAAGAACCCCCAAGGACGACCCGTAGCTCTCCTACCACGACTGCCGATAATGCAAATAAGCAGTAAAAAATGAGATGAATAACCAAGGTCAGGTATGCTGTGATTTTAGCGATTTAAAACAACAGGAACGACCCTTCTTTCTACCATCATCCATCAAAGAAAACAGCTCTGGGCTTCAGGGAGACTTTAAGCATCACTCAGTAAGGAATGACCAGCTCCAACAGTAGGACGTTGGAGGGTAAAACGTTTGTGGCTGCCGCGGGAGCAGGGATAGGGATACCAGCGCCCTTGTCAGACCCACTTGGAGCAGTTGAGCACACCCATAGCTGACGCCGCTCCCCTGCACTCCCTCCAGATTCTCCCTAGGGCACGAACTCCCTTCGACTTCAGCACCCCCAGTACCCTTGCAAACTTGGGCTAGTCCTGTTCTGAACTCCTCAATAACGCCTGGATGCATCCATTGAGAGTTGCTTGTGGTTTCTTTTTCTTTAAAGAAGAGAAACGGGCACACGCGCAGCAGAGACATTTGCGAGAGACATGCTTGTCCGAGTGCCCGCAGGATAGCCACATTTGCCCAGCTTCGAATACTCCGGAGATGTCCTTACGATGTTTTGCTTACTCATGAGAAGAGAGGAAATTCAAGTTCGAGTATAGGCAAACAATGACGATACTCGAAGAGAATGTTGTTTCCTACCCCTGTCTCCTATATCTGACCCAAGGCGCTTTCTCATCCCTGCCCTTCTGCGACTCGATCGCCTTGACACGGCAATTGACTTGCTCGCCATCTAGGTACCTTTCCATACACGACGAATCATGCGCTCTGCCATTGATGTCACCACACATCTAGAGTGCCGATCCATTAGAAGACCCAGGTTTATCGCGCTCTGATGATGTTAGGATATGTTACGGGAAAGCGATACCACTGCCGGTGCGAACTAACAAGGGCCATCACTTTAGTCGCTGCAAGGAGCGCGGCTCCTTGATCTCTCCCCGAGAGACCAGACCGTGGTTTGTTTTCCCCCACGATACGGTACAGTACCCTGGGCCAACGGTGGAT